TGTGTGTGTGGTGGTGGTGTGGTGTGTGGGTGTGTGTGTTGTGGTTGTGTGTGTGTGGTGTGGTGTTGTGTGTGTGTGTGTGTGTGTGTCTGTGTCTGTGTCTGTGGTGTTGTGTGTGGTGTGTGTGTGTGTCTGTGTCTGTGTGTGTGTGGTGTGTGTGTGTGTGTGTGTGTGTGTGTGTGTGTGGTGTGTGTGGGTGTGTGTGTGTGTGTGTGTGTGTGTCTGTGTCTGTGTCTGTGTGTGTGGTGTGTGTGGGTGTGTGTGTGTGTGTGTGGTGTGTGTCTGGTCTGTGTGTGTGTGTGTGTGGTGTGTGTGTGTGTGTGTGTGTGTGTGTGTGTGTGTGTGGTGTGTTAGCTTCCTAGAGCAACGTGGTGCTGCTCTGCATGAATGAGGTGAGAATGGGTGAGTGACTTGAGGTCTGGAAAGAGCTTCTGAGGGCTCCAGGAGACCTGATAAAGAGATTGAAGTACAGACAGTTACCATGTCATTCACAGGAGCATGGTGGGGGTCATGGTTTAAATACCTCAATCTCAATCTTTATTTATTTATATAGCACATTTTAAAAACACATATTAAATAACACAATGGGAGTACAATAATAAAACATAATACATGATATGAGTGAATGTTCTTAATGGTACACTACATTAATTTAAAAATAAGAAATGTCCAAGGATACAAAAAAATTAAATACAATTTAGCAGAAAGAACAAAATAAATGAGAAATAATTATACATAAAAGTACCCTGAGCAGTGCTCTATACATATCATGTGTTGTATATATATCTATAAATTCTTCTTCTTCCCAGGAGGAGAAGCCGATCATGCGGCTTTCACACCAGCGCTTTTCCCTCTCTAGCTCCTAGCGAGAGCTTTTCTGGTTCAGCTCCGGTTTCCCTTTTCAGCTCCCGCTTTGTTCACACTGCCCAGAGCTGCCGCTGCTGCGTCATGACGTCACCGTTTACATCGCTGATTTTCTCCCCAACGGAGCTCACAACAACAACAACAACAACAACGGGGGACTGCGTCGGGTTGATGATCGTGTTGCTTTTAATCATACGAAGCCAGATTAAATTAAATAAGGACTTCTCCAACCTTATACTTTTCTCCAGAGTGCCGTGGTTAATTGTTTATTAATGTGTTTCATTTAGCGACCGCTGCAGTGCTGGCTGCTCTTCCACGGGAGTTTATTCTCCTGTTAGCTCCGGGTTAGCTCACACGGCTCCTAAAGTATTCACTGTCTGACTGTCACACAAGCAGCTTGATACATATCCCCAGTTCCCCTTAAGTGAATGTGTGTCAGTCTGAATTGACGCTGTTTTGGCATCACAACGCTGTTATGAAAGTTTCTCTGGTATAACATGGGTGATGTTTAGCATAGCAACCGAAGCTAAACTGACTACTTGCTAAGCCGTTTTCTACAGGCACTTTTTACCGGCGTATTTTTCATTATGATTCTACTTGTGATAGTCGGACATGACAACCTGTGCAGCCCATGTATTGATTCCATCCGATAGCTGCTATAATAACAAACGTCTGCCTGCTCTCCACAATGATCAATAACAGTGAACGGATGGTCAAAGTAAGGTACAAATAAACAGAATCACACGAAGCCTGGTTAGTGTTGCCTGACTTTATAAAGTGTGTTTTTTTATAAGTGTGTGGTTGCCTTCTAGTCACTTTGCTCAGCACTACTGCTTGTAGGCAGGCATGACGAGACTCTTCAGTCGACCCATGTTCAGGGGAGGTGGGTTTGGTTTCCTGCACGCCTCGACGTAAGAGAGACGTAAGCGACGCCGCCTCTTAGCTCCAAAGCTCTTGCCTCTAGACCGACAATTTTTTGGAGCTGGAAGTGAACCGGATTCCGGAGCTAAGAGGCGGCGCCGCTGCTGCGGTGTGAAGAGGAAAAACCGGTACTTTTCAGCTCCAGCTCCGAGCCGGAGCCGGAGCTGAAAAAGCGCCGGTGTGAAAGGGGCATCAGAGGGTGCTTTGAGCTCTCACAGATTATCTGCAGGAGTTCTGCATCACAATGGAAATGCAAAGAGAAACAGCCTCCTTCATTTCAATGAGACGTCCTCCACTTCCTCCTCCTGTTCCATGTGTTCTGCTGTGTTGCCCAAATAAAAACCTCTTTAAATGTGCACAAACAATGTTTCCTGCAGAAAGACACACAGAGGTGTTCCTCATGTGTTTTTGGTTTAATGGAGAACAACAACCATTTTAGATTACAAATACAAAACTTGTGTTTACAACACAGAAAAAGTCCTTCAGCCCGGGAGCTGATAACGCTTTGGGAATACAGAGCTGCAGGGATGTTGTATTCTTGTGTTGGTCCCTGAACGCAGCATCTCCGGGTCCAATGGGATTCCTCCGTGTGATTTGGATTATTGCAGAAAAATTAATCTCTGTGTCACACAAACATTTTTCAGGTGCTTACCCTTTTAGTTCATTAGGCTAATCTCCACTAATAACACAACTTTATGATTTCTGAAGTAAAAGCTAACGTTAGGCTATAAAGGAAACCACAGCAACGGGTCACATGACTTCACGTCACCACCGCTAAGCTAAAGGAGGCTAATGTTGGGCTATAAAGGAACTACAGCACGGTCACATGACTTCACGTCACCACCGCTAAGCTAAAGGAGGCTAATGTTGGGCTATAAAGGAACTACAGCACGGTCACATGACTTCACGTCACCACCGCCTAAGCTAAAGGAGGCTAATGTTGGGCTATAAAGGAACTACAGCACGGTCACATGACTTCACGTCACCACCGCTAAGCTTAAAGGGAGGCTAATGTTGGGCTATAAAGGAACTACAGCACGGTCACATGACTTCACGTCACCACCGCTAAGCTAAAGGAGGCTAATGTTGGGCTATAAAGGAACTACAGCACGGTCACATGACTTCACGTCTCCACCGCTAAGCTAAGGTGGCTAATGTTGGGCTTATAAAGGAACTACAGTACGGTCACATGACTTCACGTGGGTTTTAGGACTCATAATGCTGACTCATATCAGGGTTTAGGACTCATAATGCTGACTCATGTCAGGGTTTATCATAATGTTGACTCATTTTAGGGTTTAGGACTCATAATGCTGACTCATGTCAGGGTTTAGGACTCATAATGCTGACTCATCTCAGGGTTTAGGACTCATAATGTTGATTTATTAAGTCCTGGTTGCCTAGATGTTACTCTACAAAGACATTACGTCAGTTTATTCCCTGTCAGTTAAATATGACATCAACATAATCCGGGTTATTTTGTAGTTTGACCTGAATGACAGCCCATAAAATGAAATATGATGCTGAAATGGAGTTTGGTGAAAGGCCTGAATAAAAGCCTTCAAGGATTCCTGGATTATTTGAGGGACCGTCAGAGGCTCCTCACAAATCCCTGAAGGAGCCACAAACACTCCAGAGCTTCAGGGGAAACTCAGGCCGTTTCTCAATGTCGAGTAAAGCTGCTCCAGAGCCACTATTTCAAGCATACTACGTCATCGAGTGGTGCCGAATCACTGTTTAAATGCCCAGCATACATGTGCTACCAAGCAAGCCTCCTCGACATTGAGAAACGGCCTCAGTCTGATGTTTTAATCTGATTACTTTTCAGGTGACAACTAAAATGGCGCCCTGGTGTTGTGGCTGTTTTTGTTCGCACCACCAGACACAAAATCAAATTATTTGTATGTGTAAACGTACCTGGCAATAAACTTGATTCTGATTTATTGGTATAGTGTGTCTGTGTCTGTAGTTAACTTACATTTGATAAACTTATCATGTCACTTAGAAATCCTAAATCTAGAGAAAAATGGGAGTTAAATAATTTAAAAAAAAGACATGAAGGGAGTGTGTAACGTCACTCTTCATCATGAGGCTTTGAGAGGGTCGATCTTGTGATTTAAATACAAATAAACAGCAATAAAAGCGTTAAATAAGGAAGTCTTTCTCTGTGAGGATTTATCAGATAAATATTGAATCCAACGGCCGGACGCCAGAGAGCGAGAAGAAGAGCTGTGATTGGCTGAGACAGTAGTGGAGGCGGGAAGGTTTTGGGAGAAGAAGAGCTGTGATTGGCTGACACAGCAGTGGAGGCGGGAACGTGTTGGGAGAAGAAGAGCTGTGATTGGCTGACACAGCAGTGGAGGCGGGAACGTGTTGGGAGAAGAAGAGCGGTGATTGGCTGAGGGCGGTACCCATCAGCCGGTAAATAAGACGCCGGTTTGGAAGTTTGAACACAGAGAAGCAGTCGCAGCCGCGGCGGAATAACGCGTTTTAACGGATATTTAAGAGGAAATAAAGCAGGTAGAAACAGAACTAAGGTGGCGGGAGGCTCCACTGACTCGGGTCCGTCAGCTGGAGGCTTTGGGAACATGGTGGAACATACGCAGTATGGCGGGTCCCGGCAGGCGGCCTCACCGTGCAGCTCCACACCGCTACAGACGGTCTCACCGTGCAGCTCCGCACCGCTACAGACGGCCTCAGCGTGCAGCACCGCACCGCAGAAACCAGACCGCTGGAAGACCGCCACGGGACACATCAAGAGGCCGATGAACGCCTTCATGGTGTGGTCCAAGATCGAGAGGAGGAAGATCATGGACCAGTCCCCGGACCTGCACAACGCGGAGATCTCCAAGCGGCTCGGGAAGCGCTGGAAGCTGCTCAGAGACTCGGAGAAGATCCCGTTCATCCGGGAGGCGGAGCGGCTCCGGCTACAGCACATGGCCCAACATCCGGACTACAAGTACCGGCCCAGGAAGAAGGCCCGGACCGAGGGCTGTACCGGAGCCTCTTCCCCGGAGAAAACCTCCACCGTGAGACCCACCTCCGCCGTGAGACCCACCCCCGTCGTGAGACCCACCCCTGTCGTGAGACCCACCCCTGTCGTGAGACCCACCCCTGTCGTGAGACCCACTCCCGTCTCCACCGTGAGACCCACCTCCACCGTGAGACCCACCTCCACTGTGAGAACCACTTCCACAGATAAGAAGTTCTCCCGGTTGAAGCCCAGCAGCACCAGGAGGCCGGGTCAGGTCCCGGTGCAGCAGGACCCCCGATACCGCTACGTGCTGACCAGCAGCTTCACGGCCACTAAGCTCGTTAAACGGGAGTTCACCGACTCCGAGGAAGAGGAGGAAGATGAGGAGGACGAAGAGGAGATAAAGAGTGAAGAAGAGGAGGAGAGGCTCTTCTACAGCTTCAAGAATATCACCCGGCAGCAGAGCTCTGTCCCCCGGCAGCAGAGCTCCAGCAGCCCGGCCTCCTCCTCCAGCGCCGGGGAAGAGGAACTCCACCTCAGGTAGGAAACCTCCTTATTGAATCAAATAGCGCGAGAGAATGTGTTGAGATGGGTTAGTGCTCAGCAGCTACAGTGTAGATGTGACAATGAAAAACTGAAGTCTCCTCCAACAGAGCAACATGAATATAGGACATAAAACAGATCAGACAGTGCAAAATAATTCAAGATTCAAAGGTTTTATTGTCATATGAACATAGGAAACAGTGTAGAAATATCAATGACATTCTTCTGACCTGAGCTCCTCCAACAATGCAACATAATCAAATACGCAAGAAGTCTAAATACAAGTACGTGGAATATGATATATAGATGAATAAGATGTTTATGGATGTTCTTTAAAGTCCATCTTAAAGGTGTCATCGTGACTCTGATCTAACGGTGAGATTTAAATGCCAGAATGTGAAATATATAAAAAATAATGTTTGAATTTCCCCAGATGTAGACATTTTAGCAAATATGTAGCCGTGTTTTGATCCTGTATCCATCCCATAACCCCACAGACAGACAAGTGGGTATTTTGAGCTTTAAAAAAAACCTTCTTTAAGCTGCAGCTGTTAGATATCTTAGTCATTTTGACATATTTAGCAAACATTTATCTTCAGTGTTTGGTCCTGAGCTCTCAGTCCATGATGAGACTGAGTTGGTCTGAAAGAGAATAATCTGATGATAGAAGTTACTGTGACTTTTAAAGCTGGAGAAACTACAGGAGCGTCTCCAGATTAATTCCCAGAGTCTTTGGGGAGCATCAGCCCGAACTCTGTGAGGTTTAAAGGAACTTTTTAAAGTCGGCAGGTCTAAAAGAAATCCCCAGAAAAGCTGTTAAATATCAAACATGTGCAAAACCTTATAATGAGAGAAACCTCCAAATGATTACAGATGTAACGTCTGAACTTCCCCAGAGACCTGGAGCGGATTACAAGCTCCAGGTCTCAGTCCGGATGCACAGAGACGCATGACAACACATACATTTAAAGAAAACTATAATAACTTGAACTAAGACTAAATGAAATAGGGTTTATTGAAACTGCTTCAGGCTAACAACACAGACCAGAGACACGTGTGAAACATCACAAACTAACGGTCACATCTGATAAGGAGGTGAATGTAATGAAACGTAACGTCTGAGTCTCAGCAGAAAGGCTCATGTAAACACAGACCATATCTCTTCCAGAACACGTCTCATTGTTTCTGACAGCAACGTTTCTGATTGGCCCGTGGGTGTAAAGCCCGCCCACATTTGAGTAATGTGGTCATGACGCAGCGAATCTGGATCAGCTCCGTTGTTCCCTTGTTTTTAGAGATGTGGGTACGGAGGGTTAGAGAGAGGGGTTTGTTTCCTGACACTTTGAGAGTCTCCTGACACACCGGACACACACCGGGGACACACACCGGACACACACCGGGGACACACGGGGGACACGCACCGGACACACACACCGGGGACGCACCGGACACACACACACCGGGGACGCACCGGACACACACACCGGGGACACACACGGGACGCACCGGGGACACACACCGGGGACACACACGGGACGCACCGGGGACACACACCGGACACACACCGGGGACACACACCGGACACACACACCGGGGACGCACCGGGGACGCACCGGGGACACACACGGGACGCACCGGGGACACACGGGACGCACCGGGAACACACGGGACACACCGGGGACACATGGGGACACACACCGGGGACACACGGTGACGTAGAGAAGACATCAGAAAGTGACTTTAGCGTGATAGGAGACCTTTAAGGCTAAATGAAATACGGTTTATTGCGGTGATACTATTTAAATAAATCTGACTGAGTCTGTTTGCAGGAACCATGGGCGGCGCCAGGATTGTTTTGCTGCAGTAGCTTAGCAGTTGCTATATGACAGCACGGCGTTGCTAGTTAATTTTCGAAACAAACAATACCAGTGGGCCAAGCACGAGCCTGTTCATATTGTCGCGTTCACCGCTATTCAAGATCACCGATCACGAGCCTTCAATGTCCAAAACGTTCTCTTTATTTTATGGTACTGACGGCCACAGCCACGCCTTACAGAGCCAATCAATAGTATAACACTCATTATGACTTTTCCCCACACTCCAACACAACTCCTACCGTCTCTACTCCCTACACACACACACCTGGAAGGGGCGGTCTCTCCCTAACTCCCACCAACAGCATTGCCTAAATAACTTTGCAAATGTACTAAACTGCACATCTGATAACTGAAATAACTATTAACTTGGACACGCTACAATATTATCATTAATATTTACATTAAAACATTTCTTTGACACTTGTAACATTACTTTGCAAGGTAAGCACAACCAGAATAAGTTTGTAAAAGCAGAATTTGAACACTGTTTCTGTGCTCCTACAATATGTGTGTATAATACCATTACACCCTAAGCGTGCACAATAGCGATCGTTCACTGTTTCAACTGGCATGCTGTGGCATTTAACCACACACACACACACACACACACACAGGGTTGTCCGGCTGGACCGGCTCCATTGGAGATCGCGCCCGTTTACGCTGACTTGTGAGAAATCTTTCCATTTTCGATCTGTGTTCACATACTGAGAATTATAACAACATTAGCCAAGTAACAGTTTGCGCTTTAACTTACAACGACCCCTGATAGATCTCGCGAGAATGTGTATAAATGTATATAGATACATTTTCATAACAAAACAATGGGGTTGCTAAGCCGTTGCTAAGCCGTTGCTAGGCCAATTGTTGGAGTTGCTATAGCTACCCCCTGGCAGGAACCTGGACGACCTGATAGGGACAAGAACAGCATATGAATTAGGGCTGTGCGATTATGGCAAAAATCATAATCACGATTATTTGGGTCAATAATTGATATCACGATTATTAAATACGATTATTCATTGACTTTGAAAAAATCAATTTATTGAACTTTAAAACAAATAATAATTTGAACAGTATCTTTTTAACTGTTGATTACCCTGAACGTATAATTCAACTGAAAAACCAATACAAAAATAAATAAAATAAATGAAACATTTAAATAAATAATATCAAAATAATAAATACCAATAAACAAGATCAACAAATATTTTGGAGCGCACTTCCCCAAGCTACTAAACATATATAAATATGATAAATACAAATAAATGAGACCAAAATTAATGAGATCAAATATGTTGCAGTGTCACAACCTAGCAAAGCTAAATAATAGTTTTTTTCGATTATGTTGTTTTCGTAATTGTGGCAGGCCAAAATCGTAATTGCGATTAAAATACGATTTAATTGCACAGCCCTAGTTTGAACATACATGTTTATAGACTTCTTGCGAACTAATTTTTCTCAAAAATGTCTAAATTCAGACTTTTTCTGAATACTTACAATTTGTAATAGCGACTCGACACCGGCTTGAGCTTCAATCTCAGGATCCATGTATCTGTGATCCTCTCCAGAATGGAAGTAGTCATCACATACAGAGCATCAACTAGTTCCTGAACAGTGTCCTTCACATGCTGATATCCAAGAGAGGGAGTTACACAGTCACAAGATGGAGGAATAGAAAGCAGTATTCAATGTTTACTTCAGATTAGCTCCACGTCAGAAATGAGCATGCTTGTCATATGTCTATCTCCATAGAGGCTGAATCATCATGTTAATCACATAGCTATCATATGCCTCAAACAGTCCTGATGCTCTTCTAGGTAATCATACATCCTGTCATGTTCACAGCTACAGTTGGGATACCTTTGTTATCATGTTACTCTCGTTGGAAGAGGACATTCAGACCGTGTTGTGTGTTTGCAGGAACCTGGACGACCTCCCTCTCAGTCTGCTGGCCGGCCTCCACGCCTCCTCCTCTTCCTCCTCCTCCTCCTCTGATCCGTGGCCCCCGTCGGGAGGATCGCCCCCCGTCGGGACCCTCAGTCTCTCTCTGGTGGATCCGGACCAGGACTCTGAGGGCAGCCTCGGCTCTCACTTCGACTTCCCGGACTACTGCGACCCCGAACTCATCAGCTACTTCCCCGACCTGGTGTTCTCCTACTGACACACACACACACACACACACACCAGGACTTGATGAATGAGTTTGAACCCAGATCTGTGAAACCGAACATACCTCGTCTTTTTTTATGAAATGAAGTATTTTTGTACAGTGGACGGGATCCAGACGTTCTCCAGACGCCCCCCCCCCTCTCTGAATGTTGTTGTTATTATTTGTGTGGGGGGGTCAGATGTAAATGTTTGTAAGATAGTTAGTGTGAGTGAGTTAGATCCCGCTTATTTTTTTATATTAACGGCACATTTTTGTTTCTGCTCATTATTTTTGTGCAATATAAAAGAGAAATAAATAAAAACGTTTTTCTGTATTTGAATAAATCAGCTGGACCTGAGTCGTGTTTATCTGCTCTCCCATTGGACGGCGTGTTTATCTGCTCTCCCATTGGACGGCGTGTTTATCTGCTCTCCCATTGGACGGCGTGTTTATCTGCTCTCCCATTGGACGGCGTGTTTATCTGCTCTCCCATTGGACGGCGTGTTTATCTGCTCTCCCATTGGACGGCGTGTTTATCTGCTCTCCCATTGGACGGCGTGTTTATCTGCTCTCCCATTGGACGGCGTGTTTATCTGCTCTCCCATTGGACGGCACGTCTCTTAAAGGGACAGGAGTCTTGTTTATCTGCTCTCCCATTGGATGGCGTGTTTATCTGCTCTCCCATTGGACAGCACGTCTCTTAAAGGGACAGGAGTCTTGTTTATCTGCTCTCCCATTGGACGGCTTGTTTATCTGCTCTCCCATTGGACGGCTTGTTTATCTGCTCTCCCATTGGACGGCACGTCTCTTAAAGGGACAGGAGTCTTGTTTATCTGCTCTCCCATTGGACGGCTTGTTTATCTGCTCTCCCATTGGACGGCGTGTTTATCTGCTCTCCCATGGATCAGGACAAAAAGAGAGAGAATCTTTGTTCCTGAAACTTTCAGGAACAGGGAGACGTCACATTCCACATCATGACTGCACTGTCCCCAGGTCAACACACGGGACCACTCCTCTCCATTTAAAGAACATTTAGCGGATGCTTTGACCCAAACCTCTACGACACCTTCCTCTCAAACCCTCTAAGATATAAAACATCTGTGTGAGTGGGCTTTTATGTTGAAGGCTCACCTGTGTGATAAACACACCTCTAGCTTAAGTTTGGTGCACCGGATCATATAACATTAACAGATGCAGAGTTAACAGATTAAACAGATTACAACGGAATCGGCCAACTTGAATAATCACAGGTTTCTAACGGTGACTTTACATATTTTACATATTTTGTGAATTTGGCTGCGATATGCTAGAAAAGCGCAAAATGAACGTATTTATATTTATACATTTTATTAAAGTGAACACACAGCTACCATCCGAAAATATTAATAACGAGTGACTCTGAACTTCTCTCTCTCACACACACACACACACACCACCACACACACACACACCACACACAGACTCTCTTCGCGCACACACAGCTCAGGGGTGGTGGAAATAAACTCCCTCATGAGAACATGAACGTCCAGTGAGTCCAGAATCTCCTGCTGTATATGCAGCAAGGCCAGGTGAGTGAGTCTCAGGCCAGGGGAGAGAGTCTCAGGCCAGGTGAGAGAGTCTCGGGCCAGGTGAGTGTGTCTCAGGTCAGTTGAGTGAGTCAGGTGAGTGAGTCTCAGGTCAGGTGAGTGAGTCTCAGGTCAGGTGAGTGTGTCTCAGGTCAGGTGAGTGAGTCTCGGGCCAGGTGAGTGTGTCTCAGGTCAGTTGAGTGAGTCAGGTGAGTGAGTCTCAGGTCAGGTGAGTGTGTCTCAGGTCAGGTGAGTGAGTCTCAGGTCAGGTGAGTGAGTCTCGGGTCAGGTGAGTGAGTCTCGGGCCAGGTGAGTGTGTCTCGGGTCAGGTGAGTGAGTCTCAGGCCAGGTGAGTGTGTCGAGTCAGGTGAGTGAGTCTCGGGTCAGGTGAGTGAGTCTCGGGCCAGGTGAGTGAGTCTCAGGCCAGGTGAGTGAGTCTCAGGTCAGGTGAGTGAGTCTCAGGCCAGGTGAGTGAGTCTCAGGTCAGGTGAGTGAGTCTCAGGCCAGGTGAGAGTCTCTGGCCAGGTGAGTGAGTCTCAGGCCAGGTGAGTGAGTCTCAGGCCAGGTGAGTGAGTCTCAGGTCAGGTGAGAGTCTCAGGCCAGGTGAGTGAGTCTCTGGCCAGGTGAGTGAGTCTCGGGCCAGGTGAGTGAGTCTCAGGCCAGGTGAGAGTCTCAGGCCAGGTGAGTGAGTCTCTGGCCAGGTGAGTGAGTCTCGGGCCAGGTGAGTGAGTCTCAGGTCAGGTGAGTGAGTCTCAGGCCAGGTGAGTGAGTCTCAGGTCAGGTGAGTGAGTCTCAGGCCAGGTGAGAGAGTATCAGGCCAGGTGAGTGAGTCTCAGGCCAGGTGAGAGTCTCAGGCCAGGTGAGTGAGTCTCAGGCCAGGTGAGTGAGTCTCAGGCCAGGTGAGAGTCTCAGGCCAGGTGAGTGAGTCTCAGGCCAGGTGAGAGTCTCAGGTCAGGTGAGTGAGTCTCAGGCCAGGTGAGTGAGTCTCGGGCCAGGTGAGTGAGTCTCGGGCCAGTTGAGTGAGTCTCGGGTCAGGTGAGTGAGTCTCAGGTGAGTGAGTCTCAGGCCAGGTGAGTGAGTCTCAGGCCAGGTGAGTGAGTCTCGGGTCAGGTGAGTGTGTCTCGGGCCAGGTGAGTGAGTCTCGGCCCAGGTGAGTGAGTCTCGGGTCAGGTGAGTGTGTCTCGGGCCAGGTGAGTGTGTCTCGGGCCAGGTGAGTGAGTCTCGGGTCAGGTGAGTGTGTCTCGGGCCAGGTGAGTGAGTCTCAGGTCAGGTGAGTGAGTCTCAGGTGAGTGAGTCTCAGGCCAGGTGAGTGAGTCTCAGGCCAGGTGAGTGAGTCTCAGGCCAGGTGAGTGAGTCTCGGGTCAGGTGAGTGTGTCTCGGGCCAGGTGAGTGAGTCTCGGCCCAGGTGAGTGAGTCTCGGGTCAGGTGAGTGTGTCTCGGGCCAGGTGAGTGAGTCTCAGGCCAGGTGAGTGAGTCTCTTCTGGGTAACTGTTACTCAGCCAGGTTTTCAGGTGGCGGAGCGCCGAGAAGGATCTCTCTGACGAGGCCAGGGAGATGGAGCAGCTGGAGGAGATGTTCCACGTATTTGAAGAGTCCTCTTGTTTGCATGTGCAGGCTGGACATACACACAGCCAGTTGGTGAACAGTGCAAAAGTCCTCATCCTTCGTAAGGTCTCCCAGCATCCTCATTTGCATGTGAAGACCAGAGACATCTATGTTTCATGGCAGCTGGAGAGATCTCACTCTTTTTCTCACGCCTGGCTTGATTTCACTCTGCACAAGATCAAGAGCCTCGAAAAGCTCTCTCCTCCACGATGCCACTCCTTTTGTTGGTTCAACATCTTCAGCCTCTGTCGTGCTGCGGCATGGGGGCGGTGTCTTGCTGACCCGGCTGCCAGCTGGCATCTTGAGGTCGTGTGCAGCTGCTGAGGTTTTGGTTTTATTTAGGATTTCCTCCACGGCCTTTTCGTTGCGTAGGGCATGCACGCGCCCTTTCAGGGTCTTTACGCACTCCAGTGCTCCAGCTTTTCCCCCTTGGACTTTAGCCACAGCCTCGCATGGACCAGAAAGAGCTTCTGCGCACAGAAGGCCAAACACCGCTCTCGCCTTCTTTGCTTGCTTTAGAAGCCCGGAGATCTTCGTCCTGGTTTCACCGCGCACTCTGCGCTCTTCCTGGAGGGTTTGTAGTGTCTGGAGAAGTGGGCCATACGCACGGCTTAACCTGGATATCGCGTTGGCCCTGACGCACCACCTTAGAAATAAATAGTTCTGCTGTCAAAAATATTTCACCTATTTTATTAAATAAAATAATTATCACTCTTCGATACTGTTATTCTTATTTACTGTTACTTACTGTTATTCTTACTAAAAGTAAGTATGTTCTCTCCTCCGGGTTGCTGCAGTGACAGTTGTCTGTGTCCACCTGACTCCGAGTCGAGGTTGAATTGCCCAGTAATAATAGTCTGCTACTTATTCATGATATTTTCTATATATCAACCATTTAAAAAACAACCATGTTTTATAGACTGCTTACACTAAAATGCTAACTCAAAATAAAACTGTTTTATTGATTTGTTTAGTGAACTTTTTGGCAGTTGCAACTCTCCGCCAACAGATGGGGCTGCTGCAGCCCCCTCAGCACCCCCCCCTTCCCACGTTCCTGCATCTGGCTGCAACTTCATTTCATTTCATTTCAAACCTTTATTTATCCAGGTGTATCCCATTGAGATCATTGATCTCTTTTTCAAGGGAGACCAACTTAGAAACTATTTATCTAATATATCATTTCCAATCACTTGTATAGACTCTTATTGCACTATTTTATTTGTATTACTTGTGTGGCGACCCCTCCACACCACTAGGCGTTCCGTGGTCTCTCTCTGTTTGCAGGTTCCAGTGCTGTGGGGTGATTGAGGACTGACGAGCTGCACCTGAGCAGCCCCTATTGGAACATGCAGAGTGTCACAAGCAGAAGCACAAGTGTGCAGGAGCAGGAGCAGGAGCAGGAGCAGGAGCAGGAGCAGGAGCAGGAGCAGGAGCAGGAGCAGGAGCAGGAGCAGGGGGGAGAAAAGAGAGGAAAAAAAGAGTACAAGTGTTTTATTGTCATCTAAAAACAGAGGGATGACAGCTCATATGAGACTTCAAAGGTCTTTTATTTTGAAACTCTACATCAGAATGTCCTGATTTTCTCTGAGTGACGAGATGGGGTGTCCTGCTATCACCCTGAAGAGAAATAAGTCTTTGATACTGGAGAGTTTTTGTTTTATTCATATCTAAAAACGTGTGTGTGTGTGTGTGTCAACCTGGTCTCACCAGAATGCGTGACTCCACCACGACTCCTTAACACCGCAGTGCGTGGTGGAGTCACGCACTCTGCTACATGTACGTGTCTGCACCACGCACTCTGCTACATGTACGTGTCTGCACCACGCACTCTGCTACATGTACGTGTCTGCACCACGCACTCTGCTACATGTACGTGTCTGCACCACGCACTCTGCTACATGTACGTGTCTGCACCACGCACTCTGCTACATGTACGTGTCTGCACCACGCACTCTGCTACATGTACGTGTCTGCACCACGCACTCTGCTACATGTACGTGTCTGCACCACGCACTCTGCTACATGTACGTGTCTGCACCACGCACTCTGCTACATGTACGTGTCTGCACCACGCACTCTGCTACATGTACGTGTCTGCACCACGCACTCTGCTACATGTACGTGTCTGCACCACGCACTCTGCTACATGTACGTGTCTGCACCACGCACTCTGC